TATATATTATGCTAGAAAATAAACTCTTTAAAAGATCTTATGGATAAAAAAGTTTGTGCACACTACTTTTTTTAACAAAAAATAAAAATAAATTATGAGTCCAAATATGAAATGAGCATTGAATGGTTCATTGGTGACTTTTAGAGTACTCACCAATAAGACTAATGTGAAAGAATATTATAAATAAAATTAGCCGAATTTTAATGGCAAACAACACCAACTGGGATACGTCGGAATGATTGAAATTTCTCCATTAATTTTAATTAAAAATTTCGAGTTTTAAAGCCTTGAAAATGATTTTTTTTGTTGAAAGTGTCATCACACTAAAAAATGAGACTAGCAATATATGAATTCGGATTTAATTAGATCACATATAGATTATATCGAACACCAAATAAGAAACTAATAATAAAACAAAGGTTAGAGTGACAATGACTGAGAAATTTGACTACTGTATTGGCTCTTTTATCCGTAGGTGACGTGCATATAAACAAGTTGTTTTGTGTTTTATCTAAAGAATGATATATTGTTGTTTTATCTTATAATTCTTATCAAATATGTAACACAATCAAACAAGTCATGTCATCTTATTATATAATCAATATTTTTGGAATATATATAGTTCGAGTTGAAAACAATGAACAATAATTTTAATTGAACCAATAGAATATGCATGTCATAAAATTTGTCTTTAATTATAAGCAAACCCTAAGACGACTTGCCAAAAACTCAATAACAATCGACTAGACAAGAATTTATGATTTGATATGTATATAATGAAAACTTATTTCAATTTTGTGATAATTTTTATGAATGCCTAATTAAAAAAATTTCAATGAAAATACATAACTTGTGTCGTGATTTTTCAGATCTCAGACTATATGAATTAATCTCTAGTTCATTCTGCATCGTAGCGTTTTTCACATTTAAAAGCTATAAAAGGAGGATTATATTCCACTTCTTGAATTTTGCATGCATTGATCTACACTAGTGAAATATATATGAAGTGTGCACTTAAAAAAGTATAGTACACTATAAAAAAATTCAATTAAATATTTACATATAAAATTTCTATGAAAGACTTCAAATTTGTGATACTCAAACTCTTCAAAATCATTACTAGGAATTAATGTGTTGGCTTCTTTAATAATGATGCATTTTCTAATGATTCGATACATAATATACATCAATATATTTAAAGAGTTCAAGAAAAATTAAGATATGTTGCGGAAAAATCAAACTTCCATTAAAGAGAAGAAGCAAACGAAAGGTTTTCATAAAAATTTCCGTAAAATCGAAAATGAAGTTTTCATTCTAAACATGCCAAATAATTAGCAACATAAATTTAATTACAAGCATATACTTCTTGTGTGTATGCATTTCTGGTACGGTTGAAAAACTATATCACAATGTAAATAACTTTTATACCATAATTATTAATTTAATTTGTTGTAGCAGGTAACCTCATGTTATTATTTTCCAAGTTACTTATCTCATATATAGAAGCAAAGTTAAGATTTATAATGAAACCCTTAAACATGACTAAAGTACTATAACAAAAAATTAAAGAAGAAGGTGATAAATAATGTGATTTTTATTAAAATTACCATGCTATAAACAAAACTATTCTGAATAGTCATCTTTATATATATTACAAACTATATAACAAAAAACAAACACTTACCCCTTCCAAATTTAATTTCATAGATGTATCAACAATTAATTTGGACTCTCCAGAAAATAATAACTAGCCATTCATTGCCGCTGCAGCATCATCAAGATTCTCACATCAAAAATAATTAATAGAGCCAATATATAGGAGCAAATTAATTAATTAATATTAATTAATCACTTTCACCCCATCGTGGAACTCTATATATTATATAAATCTATGTGAATCTTGAAGATGCTGCATCTGCAAAAATTGACTGAAAAAAACCCAAAAGCTTTAGAAAATAAATTGAAGATTTATTGGAAGAAAAAAAAAAAAGAGAGGAGAAAGGGAGAGATGGATGTTCAAAGGAGTCTAAAGAGGGTTCTATAAATAGTACTTAGGAGTGCGATAATAACACACGAAAAAAGAGAGTTTAATAATATACACCGTAAAAATAATTTTTATATCGTCACATCATATTTTTATTTGTCATAGCAGGTAATATGTCTTATTTTTAAGATTCTAAATGACAAGTTTTAAATATGTCGATTTATCTGTAGATATTCTTTGAATGGCCTGATGATTGATGTAACGTTATACTTAGAAATAAAGTTTTAAGGTATTTACATTGATGGTGTTTATTCTATCATATTGTTTAGGAGCTTAATTATATATATCGTAATGTAATAAGATTTACACCATCAGATCACCTTTATATGCTGTAATATATAATTTGTCTTATTTTCAAGATTAGAAATTTCATATTTTAAGAAGATTTACTTGTGAGTAATATTTTTTTTACATAATATATATAACTTAATTAATTGATAATTGAAATATGTTTGTATGCGGAATTAAGATTTTAATTAAAGGGGATTTAAAAATATGAAGAAGTAAATGCGAAAAAAAAATAAAGCCAAAAAGATTCAATATCTTCTATATACCTAAAAAAATATGATGTTACACACGAAGTAATTTTTCGTCAAAAAAATTGATCAAATGAACCCCGGTATATATGTGAATGTAAACTAAGTATATTTGTTACTACCAACAAGAGTTATAGTGAAGTGGTTAGTAATCCTTAATTCATCCTTAGCCAAAGATTTCAGATTCGAGCCACTTAGATATGAAGTCGCCTTTATTAGTACGTCACAATGTGATACTTTTCAATGCGTACTATGATGTTTTCAATTCATGTGATCGATAATGCAATTTTATTTTATTTTACCTTATGGATGTTGTGCGTTATAAGTGTATAGAACTCAAAATTTTAATTTAAAAATAAAATAGGTGTAGTAACAGTTATACATCACAATCCATAGGTTACCAAAAAACTAATATTTTTTTACTGAGTCATCTCAATTTCCACATTCTGCACATATAATTATTGCTACTTATTTTGGAAAAATAATAATTTACCAAGCAAAAGGTGACGTTTAGGTTTAGAATATTTGTTGCGTCCTGTACAAGATGTTTTCTAAATTGACATCCTTATTTATGGGAAAATTGACGTCTCAACTTTTCTCAATAGTTTTTAAGGTTTGTTTGTGTTAATCCCTCATTTTAACTTTAAAACGTGTTACTAGGATTTAAGACTTGTTTACTTATATATTCAACATTATCTTTTTAGTGTTTTGTTGATATGAGATTCGCTTCGAGTGTTACGCACATCCTTCCTTAGTGACCCAACGTCTTCGCTGAGGTTTATCCTACCATGATTTAAGGATGCACACGAAGTGGTTATGATACAATATGTAACGTCGACCATGGTCTAACCATTAGGATATTATACTCTTTTTTGGACCTAGGCAAACACATATTTGACTCTTGGATTTTAATCTAAAAGACGCTTCAATAGTTGTTTCTAAAATCATTCTTGTAAGATCTCTAACTTTCTTCTCCTATTTCGAAGTGAGATTGCCTAAAGTGTAATGTGCATTCCTTTTCCAAAGGGTTTTCCTCTATCATCGGTGTCATATACCCCCCTTGGGATTCGGTGTCCTCGTTGTGGTTTTTCCCACCAACGTATCGATAAATACGCTATTAGTGATATTATCCTTTTTGGGCCTATCACTCTATTGCTTATAAATAGCCAATTTGAGAAGCTTACAAAGCTTAGGGAAACCCCCTATTAGGGTGTGTTCGGTAGGAAGGTTTTCAAATTTTTTAATATGTTCGATTGGTTAAAAAAATTTAGAAAAACAATTTCTCTAGAAAAAATAACAAATTCTTTAAGCATAAAAAAAATGCTTTCTTACTAAAATAGGAAAAACGAATTTCACAAATATCATTCCAAATTGATTATGTTTTCCCCGCACCTCACCCCATCCTAGTATCCCCCATCCCATCACCTCATAAGTCACATTGCCAACTTCACCTCCACCTACTATAATGTTTGTCTAGATCATATAAAATTGATTCTTTTTACTTAAATATCGTATCAAAAAACATATTTTTTTTAAAAAATATTTTTTCTTCGTACCGAACACATCCTCATTAATTTCCATAACAAGCACTTTTAAGCCCCGCAAATTCTTTAGGCTTTTTGTAGTGCTTTACTCTTTGTAAAATTAACGTCAAGTATAAGAACTTTTTGAAATTGACATCCATATTTATGGGAATAAACGTGTGAACTTTATCATCGTTTCTAAGACTTGCTTGTGTTAAGAGAACACGTATTTAGAGGAAAAACAAATATATAATATTATTTTTATCAATTAATGCTAATATTTTTTTAAAATATAATTATGTAATAAGTGACCTAATTAGTAATTATATAAATATTATTTACATCGTGAAATTATATATATATATATATATATATATATAAAATAGATTCAACCGTATATTATTTTTCATAAAGTTAATGTCAAGTTTTATTTATTTATTTATTTATTTTGAAACTCCAATATAACCCGTAATCGCTATAGCTTTTGTCACAATCTCTATCCTTCGAGTTAGAACTTTGTGGTGAACACTTTATGTGCACTGGATAAACGCTCAATGTGTAATTCTGTAAACCATACTAAACAAGCCCTATGAAACATGCTCAACTTATAAGTCCAATGTGTACTAGAAGCACCATATAATTTTTGGTTTTTAATGAGGTACATATATTATCTTTTTGGACGGACATCAAATTAACATAATGGTATTATTAATCCACATCTAACCTCCATAATGTGGTGACAAAACGTAAAAACCTCCAAAATAGTTGGTTAAATACCAACAAAAATAATATCGACCATTATATTCTAAAATAGTGCTAATATTAGGGGAAATGGTACAACGGGTGAATTATTATAGAGAACAATTAAAGATTATTATTTTTATTGGGAAATTTTGAAAACAACCTTTTCACCTTCACACAATAAGAATAAGATTTATTTATACTCTAATATCTCCGAATCGCAACTTTGAAATTACACTAATATGTTATGGGCCACAAAGTCGTGAATGATTAATTTTGAGTGCACGTATATATGTGAAGTATACCCTAAATAAAGTATATATAACAAATAACTTAGGCAATTTATTTCCAAAATTATGTTATATATATAGTCAAATTGTCCAACTACATGATCTCAACATATTATGTTGATCAACTCACTATTATATAGCACTTCACATAAGATAAAAATATTTTAAGTTAAATGCAAATGCCTTTACCTTATTTTCTCCATAAATTAGGGTGGACTCAAATAATGTACAAGTATACAACAAAGCACATGCATCAACATAAATTTTTGCTTCCAAAAATGAATTCTCCCATTCACGAATTTAAATTTAATCTGACCCCAATATAAATATTGTGTTGATATACTATTAACCATATGTTAAGATATAATATTTATTCAGTTTTAATAGATCATATATTCGTTTATGGTGTTTGTTTACTTATATAGTAGATGATTTAGTGTGTAGAGTTTTAGCTTATACACAGCGGATTAAATCATCGGTTCTTATAAGTATGAAGTTTTTTGTTCACAATCTAGGATGGAAATTGGACTTGCCATCGGTACAATTGTAACACAAGATTATATGTAATTTAGCTTGATTATGGGAACGGTATAGTTCCAACTTCTTTTGCTAGTGCATTTTGTATGTATTGAATGGGACCAAGTAGAGATACTTGTTTTAGACTGGCTGACAAAAACATATTCTCTAAAACTATTAAATGTACTTATATTCTTAATCCTGATATAACTATTATGATCTGTATATATTAATTATCGTTTTGATTATTAAAAGGTGAGATTCTGAGATGGGTCAATATGCTTGGTAGATTGGATGATAATAATATATATTGGTGAAATAATAAGTTAGTTGATGGAATCCATGTCCCGTTTAGAGATTGATTGATATGCCTTTTTGAGAAACTTATAAGTTTTCATCGTGTCAAACCTTGTAAGTGGATTTATGAATCCGATACGTGAAATAAGTTAAGCAGTGCTCTAAAAGAAATTAATCATTGAATTAAATTCGCTAGTAATTTAATTTATTGATTAGTATCTATAATCTTAACATGGGGAATTACATAAGTGTTTAATGGGGAATTACAAAATATAAATAGAGGAGTGTTGTCACGACCCAACCCACCGGGCCGTGCGAGCACCTACATACTACCACCTAAGTAGGAGGACCCTATTATCCCAATAGTTACAACATGCAGAAAAATAGATAAATGGAAATAATTATACTAACAGAATTTTATAAATAAGAACTTTTAACGCAATGTCGGTTAAGACTTGTAAAGTAATTAACACCCCCAAGGATCTAGTTTAAACAGGTACAAGAGCTACTAAGAGTACAACAAGACATAATAACGAAAAGACACAACTCCCACCATGCGGAAGGAAAAGTAGAAGATGTTGGAGAATTCTTCGTCTTCATCTAATAAAACATCACCAACCTGCATCCAGTCTATGCCAAAAAGACATAGCAAGAGTAGTATCAGTATAAAACCACACGTATTGGTAGGCATCATCGGTCAACCCGACGTCCACCGCATAATCATAAGAAAACAACTAGCAAGATTATGCGCTAAACCACACGCTTCTCCACCTTACCCTCTCTTGAATATCTCAAAATTACACTAGTACTCTTACTACCAACTACCTTCTCAGTCAACCTACTTACTAAGTTCTTGATCATAGCCTAACCCTTTTAACGCGTAGAAGAGTCCACCAACACAACTACAACACTACGACTAACCACCCACGACATACTCTTACTTCCTCTTTTATATTACCAGCCC